TCCAAGACAATTCAAGTTTCCGTTCTTTTGCTAAATTCAGTGACATTACATTTAACCCGTAGCAGCAATTCTAAATAGTATCCTGTAAGGTTTAATAGCTGGTCTAATTTTGTGCTTTGCAAGGACTATGTTAAAGTGAAAATGTCTAGCTAGATGGTTAGATTTATGTACTAGCTACCTTTGATCTTCCATATTAATTTATAACTTTTACATTTCTAAAGCACACATCATTGGGATTATATACAGAACATTTTTCAGCTATGTTCACATCTGCAATATAAAATGAAAAAAAAAATCAGATAAAACTTAAGCCAAAACAGGGAATAAAACCTAGATTCTGAAATAGACAGATTTAAGAAAAGCATTATTTTAAAAATTGAAGTCATTCATTTACTCATGAATTTAGGAAACAATCTATCTAAAGACTACCAAGTGTTAGAAATTGTTTTAGGCAATGAATTCTTGCTTTGACAGAGCTGACATACCAGTGACAAAGACAAAAAAACTCAATAGATTAACAAGTTATTTAATGTAATTTGTAGTAGCTACACATTAAGAAAAATAAATTAGTATAAAGGAATTACACATGAAAGGATTAATATCAAAGATGGGTTGGCCATGGAAAGCCTTTCTAAGTTCACGATCTTTGAACATGGACATGAATAAAATATAGGAGCAAGATATGATAAGATCAATGACTTGTTCCAGACAAAAAGAATAGCAAGTGTGAAGATATTCAGGTAGGAATAAGCCTTGATGTATTCCAGAAAGTGGAAGAAGGACATTGTAGATAAACTGTAGTGTGCAAGAAGGAACATATAAAGAAATGAGATTAGAAGTATAGATAAAAGCTAGACTATGAAAACAAGGATTGGGAATTTTAATTTCATTCTAAAAAGTTTGAAAAGCCAGAATTTAGATAGGGAAGATTTTAGATAGGTTAATAATAATATGTGGTATGATAGAGACTTAAAACTTTCCCACTGGCTACTGTGTGGAACAGAGTGGGAACCATGAGGTAAGTTAAAAGTCAGTATAGTAATTTAGAAGGCAGATAAAGGTGACTTGGAATAGAGTGGTAGCAGTGGAAATGGTTAAGATGTGATTAGGTTCAGGTTATATTTCAAAGATAGAGCTGGATAAAGAAAGGGAGAAAAACAAGATTCAAGGATAATGTAGATTTCTATTGTATGCACCTGGAAAAATAATGATGCTATTTACTGAGCTGACACAATGGTTAACAACAAGTTAGAAGAGGGCATAAGAGTTCTATTTTAGTTATGTTACATTTAAAAACCTAAGAAGTATTCAATAGCAATACTGAGGAGGCAGTTGCTGAAAAAAATCTGGACTTCAGAAAAGAAGTTTAGGCTGGAGATACAAATTTGAAAGTCCCGGAGTTGGATGAGAAAAACTAAGGAGTTATTAGAAACTAGAAAAATAAATGGGTGAGCCCATGGGATATCTCAACATTTGGAAACTGAAAAAGTATAAGCCAGAAAGAGACTAGACTGTCAATAGTACAGTAATGTCAAGGAAATCAAGGGGAAAAGTGGTCTAAGAAGCAAGATGTGATTACCTCTGTTGAGTTCTAAAAAGAAGTAATGAAGGATAATCATTCACTGATTATAGCTTGGCGGTATGGAGGTTATGGTAACCTTAACAAAAGAGGTTCCATTGGTCTTTAATACAAATTTGAATTTATTTAATAAATATCACACACACACACACACACACACACACACACACACACACACACAGAGAGAGAGAGAGAGAGAGAGATTACAACGTGATTGTATGCTGATGAAAATGGTCCAGCAGAGAGGGTTACACAGATAATGTAGGATGGGGAAAGTAAGTGGGACATGAAGGCACAATATGGAAAGGTTGGACTTAACGAAAAGTAGGAACATTTCATTCATTTTATCAGCAGGTTAGTCAAAAGTATATGAGAATATTTTCAGAAAAGTTGGCAGATTCTTCTATAAAAGTCTACTGGCCCATTAGAGATGGAATCATAAGCTAGGAGTGAGTAGATAGAAAAAGTGTTGAAGTAAAGTGAAATAATCTAAAAGAATGGAAAAGTGAATTAACTAGAGAAATACAATCACAATTCCCAGCTTGCTGAAGGTCTACTTAATATCTGTGGTCCTATACTTATGTGAAATCATTCACTGTAGTTTTTTTGTTTGTAATTTCTTTGCACAAACTTCATTTGTAGAATGGATTTAACCCGGGTTGGAGCTTTGCTAAGAGAGTACATCAGAAAGAGGAAGAGCTATGTAGGCAAAAGAATAATTATATTGATGGGACTCAATGAAGTGGTTGAATCTAATCTGAGTTAGGAAGGAAGTAAATTCAGGAGGGCTTAATAGACAGAAACAAATTTACAGAGACTATGAGTCTCAATGAGGTCAAAGAAGTTTTGAAATGGGGATACTTAAAATTAAGACTTTGACAGTCATGCAGTTATGATTTTATTACAATGCATAAGATAGAGAGGTGGTGGGCTAAAGTAGGGGGAGACAGGGTAATTGTTTAAATAACATGAAGGCCAGGGCTTTAAGTGGACCATTTATATGGATGTTAAAATAACTAAAATCGATCATAAGAGTAGAGAAACACAATGCACAAGATGCTAAGGTCAGTTCTACCACTCAGGTACTAGATACCTCCTCTTCTATCTACTCAAGAATATGGCTCTAGAAAAATTTCCCCTCTGTGTCTTACCTTCTGTGTACAGAATAATTCTTACCAGCCTACAAACATGCTGTTAGATTTTCTATCATAAAATCAAAACAAAACAATGCAATAATGAAGAAAAGCCTTTGTTTTTACAGTCTTTTCTAAGTACCTCCTCATTTCTTTACTCTCCTTACAGCAAAATTCCCCTAAACAGTTGTCTGTATTCACTCTTTTCAATGAACCTCTTCCATTTCTCTTTTGAACTTATACCAATCATGCTTTTCTATAAATGAATTAACGAAATAGGAGGATAGTGCAAATCTTTAGTAGATAACTACAAGGAGATGTTATCGTCTAATAGCCTAAGCTGAAAAGCCTTGGGGTTTTTGAGGGAGAGTAGAAATGTCATGGAAGCAGTAAGGAGAGCAAAGAGGAGACCTCCTTCACTTTCAGGCTCTGTGTTTTGTGACATATGAGATGGAGAGCAGTCATTACAAGGGAGGTACAGGGGAAAAAGAACCCTCATGGAAAAGCGGGTTTCTGTTAGAATGAGATGATAAATGAAACATTCAGAAATTCATGGTCAGAATGCTGTATAGGAGGCTCCGCTGATGGCAGACCATGACTTTTTGAGGAAATATTAAATGAGTTTGGAGTTGTGATGGAGCGGGGTATTAGATTAGAATCGGTTACATGGAAAAGAAAGCTTGGGTGTTGATGAATAATGACTCATCAACAATAATGAGTTTTTATTGATGACTGAGGCAAATAGTGAGAAAGGGAAATTGATACTCACCTTTCCTTGTCTCTCAGGGAAAGGTGAGTATCAATTATAACCATAGCTTTCTTTTTGGGACTCATCTTTTACGATGTTTGTAGTGGTGAGAATGGCAATAATGTGGTGGTAACTGTGAGGATAGGAACAGGGGACCAATAGTTCTGGTGTGTATTAAGAACATGAGCCTAATAATATACCAGTCTAGAGGTTCCTCCTAAATTCAGCTGAGCATCAGGTAGGGGCCAGGAAAATGCTTTATCTAACTAAGAGCCATGGAGCACTGAAAGCTTAACTTAATCCAAGAAAGCCATGAAATTCATAGATGTTAATGGGTAGCATTATGGCTATGGAAGCATAGGGAGTTCAGTGGCCATTCTTTAAATACTGCTGAGGGGGCATGATGGTTGTAAACACCTCCTTGTTTATATCTAGCCTCTGCTACTTATAGATGACCTTAGCCCCTTAGCCTCTGTTTACTCACTCAAAAAACTGGGGTAATAGAACTCAGCTAGTAGGGTTATTATGATAATTACACAAATATATGTGAAACAGTTAACAAAATGCCAACTACCCAGGAAATTCTGAAAAATATTAGATAGCATATAATCAGTGGGTGACCATATCACTACCCTCTAAGAGTGGGCTTAGTGGGATCATTACATCTCAGAATCAGAAACAGCTTATAGGCAACATAGCTCAAGAAAACGTACTTAGTTTCAAAACAATGGAGATTGATTTTATTTGTTTTATATCTAAGTCATATTGGGAACACCATTTCTAATGTTTATTTAAACTATAATTTAGAATATTCTTTGCTGAGCTAACAGTGCATCCAAAATGCAAGCTTCATGAGAGTAACAACATCATCAGTTTTGTACATTGCCATGTCCCAAATGCCTTGAACAGTGTTTGGCACATATAGTAAATTCATAATAGTTTAAGCCCATTGCCCAATAAATGAAATAATATAAATTTTATTTGATTATTGTGCTAATGGAGATGACTATGGGGTATTTCTCTACTTACACAAGCATAATTTGAACAACGGCATGATAACAGTCTGTCTTTAGGTGTAGGGAGTCAAGCGTAAATCTGTGGCTGGTCATAAGAAACGCTGAACCCAGCAATATCCATTCAAATTATTTACTGCTCTGCTCATCAAGGGAAAAGCATTTTTAAAACTCTACAATAAAAAATATTAAAAGGATACTAATCACAATAGTTAACATACTTATATATTCCTTAATATGTGCTAACCCTGTTAATAGTTGTTTATGTTTATGAACAATTTTCACAACAATCCTGAGGAGTATCCTGTCATCACAGTCATATCCATTATTAACACAGTTACCATCATCACCATCGTCTTCATCATCTGCACTTTACAGGTGAATAAATGGAGGTACAACAAGGCTAAGTGAGTTTTCTTAAGATGCCCTAGGTAATTTGTTGATTTGAGACTTAGCCGTGATTTGAATGCTGAAAGTCTGGCTTTCAATTCCATGCATTTGACCACAGTATTGCACTTCCTCTCTAGATCACTGTCTAGCATGCAGGAAGGACAGCATCATGGTCTTTTTCTTCTTCATCACTTGTGAGGCAAGTGAAAATAACAGCTACCATTTATTGAGTGCTTTCTATGTGACGAACACCACACTTAGAAACTTATGTCATTCCTGGTCCTTATAAAAAAATATTTGAGGTGCAAATTATTATATTCCCCTCTACAGATAAGAAGCTGAAGCTGTGATCATAATTTCCTGAAAGTCAAAGATTTCTCTTACATAGCTCCAAAGTCAGAAATCTGACTGTGACATACCATATCGTAACATGTTTACTAATAGAAAAAGGTTTCTTTCTTCAGAACTGGATATAAATTAAACACATGATTGCTTCATTGCAGTTATTTCACTGTCTATAAATTTATATTGAACATTTAAAAGCCAAAAATAATATGGAAATTTAGTGAACATTTGTTGTATTTCTAATCTTTTTATCTATCAGGCTACTACTTCTTTCACCATTTAACACCTTTAAGGGAGAGGTTACGTTTAGTTTTTCTATTCCTTTCTTTCTTGTTTCTCTTCTTAAAAAAACAAAATTATATATATATATATATATACATATATATATATAGTATTGATATTGTGAAATCTTCCCCATAACTTCAAATGTAACCCTTATGTTCATAGTTATCATCTTCATGCATGTATTTGTGTTTATGTTGTATGTACATATACATATAACATCTATGTATTTATAAATAATATATGCCTATATTATCTGTATGTTTAATAAGCTGAATCACATTGTATATATAATTTTGCAAGTTTTTTTACTCAATGTACTTTTGAAATAGACATGTTTTCTTATGTAATAATTTAGTACATTTATTTTAACTGCTAAGTAATTTCCCACCATATAAAGAAACCACAACCTCAATTCTTTTTGCACTACTCGCTTCCCAATCTTTTGAATGTTGGCTCCTTCCTGCAGTTATCACTTGAAACTGCTCCATTAAAATCTACTAGATTTTTTTAAATATTCATTATTTTTAATCCATCCTTACATTTGGTGCAGTTAATTACCCTCATTTTCTTGAAATTTCCTCCTGTCGATTTTCGATTTTGTGAAAGTACATCTTTCTTGATATCTTTGTTCTTCTCCTGTTTGTTGTTTAAATGTAGGTGTTTCCCAAAGGTATATCCTTAATTTTCTTCTTTCTCTCTTGACAGTCTCATTTATGTCATGGCTTCATATTGCAAATAACCCTCCAATCCATATTTGATTTGTTTCCAGTTGTCTGCTGGACATTGCTAGTTAGATGTCATACTTGACCTAAATATGCACTTTTCCTCTTAAATTTGTTCCTGTTTCTCTGCTTCCTATTTAAATAAGTGGCAGTGGCAGTGCCACCATCTTAGCAATCATCCAGGCTCAAAAGCATGAAATGATTAAATCCCTTGGGTCTCATCAGTTGCCAGGACCTGCAAATTACTGTTCTATTCATCCTGCCAAATTGGTTCCTACTGCCACTACTCTAGTTTAAACCCCATGACTTCTAGGCTTTTCACAATAGTATAACTTGTTTTTGTGCTTCTAAGTGTCTTTCCACTTCCTAGGCATCCTCTATCCTGCTTGATTAATTTTCCTAAAGCATAGTTCTGTTCATCGTATTTCCCTGTTTGAAAGCTTTTAACAGCTATTTCTCATAAAGTCCAAACCCTTTAAGCTGAAATTCTGCTTCTCCACAAATTGATTTGTTTGCCCCTCCAAACTTATTATTTCTCTATTTAATATGCCCCATATACCTATCAAATTGGACATCTTACTCTTTCTGTTATCTGCTTGTATGTCTGGGTTAGTTAGTGGTAACAAGCTGCTTCAAAAGCTGTGTCTCAAAATAACAAAAGTTTATTTCTTACACAATTGCTGTAGTAATTTCAGGTCAGCAAGAATGTTCTCTGTTCACTGCAGTCACTCAAAGACCCAGGCTAAGGAAACAGCCACCATGTTGAATGTTGAGGCTCTCTATCATGTGGGAAATAACTTTAGACGGTTTTGCACTAGCAATTAAACATTATGAAACAGAAGTGATAAACATCACTTCAATTCACAACTCCCTGGTCAGAATTAGTCACATAGCTCTAATTCATTGTTAGAGAAACTAGAAAGTGTAAACCTATCTTGTGGAATGGCAGAAGAAAAACAGATATTGATGAACAGCATTGAAGACCACCACAGTTGCCAATATATATTTTTATCATTTTTCTCCTGTAGACCAATGCTCATGAAACTTAAAATATTCTTCTTTATCTTCTATTCTTCTTCAGATCCTGCTTACTTTTAATTCCCAGAACAGCTATCACATTTTCAATGAATTATTTCCTAATCATCCCGGACAGACATATTCTCCCTCTCCTCTAATTTCTCATAGTCCTTTATTTTTGAGATAAGATAAAAACTATCTTATCTGTGGTTATGCATTTAGTTCCTAGAGGTCAGGATACATTATTTTATACAAAAAAAATATATAGTCAAGGGTTTTATTAACATTTGACTACGTATTTTTTTGCCTTGACTACATATTTTTGTGTGTGAATACATAAATCCCACAAATTGAATCAGAGTGTAGTCTGATTACTTGGAGGTTCATTTCTTTTGAAAGACTGGCTTCTTCTATTACCTATTTATAGGGGAGATGTTTATTCCTCATTATATATAAGGCTGGATATTATATATATATATATATATATATATATATGCACACACACATATACACACATATATAATAATTGTATATCTACATGTATGGTATATGTATATTTATATATCTTATGTATATATACATATAGTTAGCAGATCCTAGCTACTATGGTATAAATATAGAGTAAATTAATTATGAATCTGCCTTATTCTCACTCTTCTCACTCTGAAATTGCTGGCAGTGCTATTATAACTCTTTTCAGTCTTCTTTTCCAATAAATGATTTATTTGACCATTGCCCTTTGGTAGCAATAAGATAGATAGTCTAAGGGCTCTTTCCTATGTGAAATATTTTAAGGAATGTCCATAAAAGGAAAACAGAACTGACAAGATAAATTAAAGTAGTCCTTCTGTCCTTCCTTCCTTTCTTCTTTATCAAATATTTATTGGACACTTGTTCTGTATATGCTACTATGATAAGATACAATATGGGAATAGGCACAGACCCTGTCTTGGGGGAATCTTATAGTCCAGAGGAGTAATAACATATACAACCTCCCTGCAATAACTTGACTTGAAATTACTATTTCCCCAATTATACACCTGGCCAATGCATGCTCATGCTTTAAATCTCAGGTTAGGTGTTCCATCCTCTGGGAAGCCTTCCTTGATTTCTCAGCTTTGCTCTAGCACTTCAGTAGTGTTTTCGAGGGAGTAATTAATTATTTTTGAGGAAAGAGCTCAGGGAAGTTTTAACAGAGGAAATGATTGAGAAAAAGTCTGAAAAATGAGTGGGACTCTGCCAAGAAAAGCAAGAAGTAAGAAAATTGTCCTTATCCAAAGGTGACAATGATATGTCGAGTACAGGAATCTATGAGCAGATTTCTATTGCTGGAGCTTAAGTCGTAAAAACTGTTACAGGAAAAGAAGCTGGGAGATAGGCAGGAACCCAATTCTGAATGGCTTGTGTGCCATGCTGTGGGGAATCTCTAATGAAATTCAAGAAGTGAAGTGGCACGGCCAGATTCACTTTTTAGAAATTATACTATTAATGAAGTATGCAGAGTAAACTTGAAGGCAGGAGAACTATTATGACATTTCCAGGGGTAAGATAATTAGATTTCGAAGTAACATGATGGAAGGGGGTTCAGAAGAAGAAAATAGACATTTGGGGGAATAAACAGAAAATATGCGGTAACAGCCTGCTTGTAGTAGGCAAGGGAGAATAAGAAATTGAGAATGTTATTTTGTTTTCTGACTCACACGATTGATGGCTAAAGATCACAGATGAAGAAATTACAGAAGAAAAAGCTGGTTTTGAGGTTGAATTAGTTAAATTGGGAACCTCAATTTTCTCTCTTAAGAAGAATGGGTTGACATTTACTGTGAAGAATCAAAGCATAGGAGTTGAATGGCATGGCACACGTTTTGAATTATGAGGGAAATGAGAGTGGGAACTGACAAAGGACAAGTAAAATCTTTATGAGCAATGGAGAGAGGCAAGCTGAAGTTGGATGGTATGAACACTTAGTAGACCCAGTCTACAAGTTTGTATTACTATTGTCAGTCAAACTCAGAGCTGAGTACAGGAATGGAATATTTGTATGATTAATCTAGGGTTAAAAATATGTGACAAAATAATGTGGTTGAATAGGTGTTGAAAGGTGTTTGTGAGCCTGTGTAGGGAAGAAAATAAAGCAATTAAGAAATAGAGTGGACTCATGAGGGGTTTAAAAGATTCTGCAATAGGGGCGTCCAATCTTTTGGCTTCCCTGGGCCACACTGGAAGAAGAATTGTCTTGGGTTAAACATAAAATGCACTATTACAAATGATAGTTGGTGAACTAAAAATAAAAATTATAAAACATCTCATTATGTTTTAAGAAAGTTAATGAATTTATGTTGGGCCACATTCCAAGCCATCCTGGGCTGCATGCAGCCTGTGGGTTGGACAAGCTTGCTTTACAACATGGAATGGCATGTATAAAGAAAGTGATTCCAGGAGGGAGGCAGAAAGGTAAGGTGTGATCAGAGAGCAGGAGAGCAGAATTTCTGATCTCCAAAGTAGGGAGAAGTTTTGGTTCCTGAGAAAGTCTAGGAAGAGACATGAAAAAGGGCTAAGGGGGAAGAGTGGAGGTGAGCCCTCTAGAATCGAAGGGATAGCTGTGAAAGGATGTTGAAGAGTTCTTTCACATGGACATTGAAATTGTTCAGGATAATAATAGGCATTCAGTCAGAAGAAGCCTGTAATTTGGGTGGCATCTATGATGAACATGAGGGTTATAACCTGGAGGCCAGATGATGATGAACAAGTAAACCGATCTTTGGTGTAGAAGAAGGATATCTTTTTTGGGGTTGGTGGTGGCTTATAGTGTAAGCGTAAAATAGTCTCTTA